CACACACACACACACACACACACACACACCCTTCTTCTGTCTCCTCCTTTTGCCTCCAACTGGGATGCCACTATACATTTCCCATTTCATCACACGTTCACACAATTAACTTCCTGTCAGCCTCTCGTAGAGATACAAATGATATCCTTGATAGGCTAGCATCAATTTCTTTATAATTAGCCCCTTGGCCTTTCACCCACTTAGTCACTTCCGTCTAGCTTGTAACCACACGTAACCCTAAGACCCCCTTTGTTAGGCCCATTTCCCTGCTAGTATACAGCGCTCATTTAGTTTTTCTCTCAGTTGCTCCTGAGGAAGCCCACGAGGCGAAACGTTGAGCTATTAAACAAATTTAAACATTTTATATCGTTATGTTATTTTGTCTAAAATTAAAACAAGACTCTCCCTCCTACTCTGCTTACCAAACAATGATGATGATGATGATGATGATGATGATGATGATGATGATGATGATGATGATGAGGTGGAGGAGGAGGATGATGGTTATGATGATGATGATGAGGAGGAGGAGAAGGAGGAGGAGGAGGAGTATGTATACTGTGTGTGTGTGCAGTGAAGGTGGAGGATGGAGGGGTTGAAGTGGAGTGGAGTGGCATGCGGGCTTGTCTAACGGTACATTTGTGTGAGATGTGTTGGGAAAAAAACTCTCCCTAGGTGGACATACCCTCTGACCTACACCAGCGGACCCTGAAGGCCGCGCAAAGATATCTAGGCGGGAAAGAAGTAGTCCCCACCCTGTTCGACGAGGCACAGTTCCATGTATTTAAGGAACTACTTTTCTACTGGGCCGGCTACAAGAGAGCGACGTCTACTCCAGATGAGGCCAAGAAGAGACCAGGTAATGATTGCGTTTCAAGTAAAAAGTTTGAGTTTATACCTCGTTGTCTGTGTCTGTCTTTGTCTAACTTTATCTATTGTGAATGTGAGTACATTTGTGTGTCTGCATATCACTTTCTCTGTCTTTCTCTCCCTTTCTTTCTTTCCCTCCCTCGCTTTCTCTGTTCCTCCCTCTCCGTCTGCTTGTCTGCCTATGTGATGTGTTGTCTGCCTCTGCCTTTCCCTGTCCCCCCCCCCTGGTTTCTTATCTCTCTCTCTCTCGCTTTCTTTCTCTCTCTCTCTCTCTCTCTCTCTCTCTCTCTC